CAAAAATGACTTTTTCACACCAAATTTTTACAGATTTTTCCACCCCGATCCCTCTTCGGGCGCCAGATTTTTCCCAAATTTTTTTCCCCCCCAATTTTTTCCCCAAATTTTTTTTTGAAACTTCACCCAAAAATGACATTTTCACACCAAATTTTTACAAATTTTTTTCCACCCAAATCCCTCTTCGGGCGCCAGATTTTTTGAGGAACTTTCACCCAAAGAAATTTTATGGAATTTTCACCCCAAAAAATGACTTTTTTTGGACCAAATTTTTTTTCAGAAATTTCACCACGAAAAGACTTTTTGGTGCAAAATTTTTGAGGAACTTTCACCCAAAGAAATTTTCTGAAAATTTACAGAATTTTCCCCCAAAAAAGACTTTCAGGACCAATTTTTTTTCAGAAATTTCACCATAAATGCCTTTTTTGGACCAAATTTTGAGGAAACTTCTCCAGAAAACTTTTTGGCACCAAATTTTTATGCAATTCTCCCCCAAAAATGACTTTTTTGTGCCAAATTTTATGGAATTTTCACTCCCGATCCCTATTCGGGCGCCAAATTTTTCCCCAATTTTTTTTTTTTTCCAATTTTTTTTCCCAAATTTTCCCCAATTTTTTTCCAAATTTTTTTTGCTTTTTTACCGAAACGCCCTCGAACGCCGACGAGTTGAGCGCTCTGTAAATTTCGTCGGTGATGTTTTTATTGTTGTAGTTGAAATCCTCGAGGCGCAGCCCTTTTTTTACCAATTCCTGCGAAGTTTTGTTGAGCGCCAAAGCCAAAGCCCAAATGGCGTCGTAGGCGAGCGGAGCCTCCTGGAATCCGCCCGTTTCCTCCGGGTTTTTACCCAGGCGCTTTTGGAGCTTTTGGATGAATTCTTGGGAGGTCTGGGAAAAAATTAAAAATATAAAAAAATAATAAAATATGGGGGAGGGGAAATGGGGTGGGGGGAGGGAGAAATTGGGATGAAAATGAGGAAAAAAATGAGATGAAAAGGAGACAAAATTGAGATAAAATTGAGCCAAAAATGACCCTCCCAGTCCATCCCAGTCCATCTGAATCCATTCCAGTCCATTCCAGTCCATCCGAATCCATTCCCAATCCATCCAAATCCACTCCAGTCTATCCCAATCCATTCCAGTTTACCCGAATCCATTCCCAGTCCATCCTAGTTTATCCGAATCCATTCCCAGTGACTCCCAATCCATTCCCAGTGGTTCCCAGTGACTCCCAATCCATTCCCAGTCCATCCCAGTCCATTCCAATCCATTCCCAGTGGTTCCCAGTGACTCCCAATCCATTCCCAGTCCATTCCAGTCCATCCGAATCCATTCCCAATCCATCCAAATCCACTCCAGTCCATCCGAATCCATTCCAGTTTGATCCCAGTCCATCCCAGTCCATTCCCAATCCATCCGAATCCATTCCCAGTCCATTCCCAGTCTATCCCAGTCCATCCCAGTGATTCCCAATCCATTCCCAATCCATTCCAGTCCACCCAAATCCACTCCAGTCCATCCGAATCCATTCCAGTTTGATCCCAGTCCATCCCAGTCCATTCCAATCCACTCCAGTCCATCCAAATCCACTCCAGTCCATCCCAATCCATTCCAATCCATTCCCAGTGGTTCCCAGTGACTCCCAATCCCATCCCAATCCATTCCAGTTTATTCCAATCCATTCTCAGTGGTTCCCAGAGACTCCCAATCCATTCCAAATCCACTCCAGTCCATGCCAGTCCATCCAAATCCACTTCAGTCCATCCCAATCCATTCCCAGTTTATCCCAGTCCCTCCCAGTCCATTCCAGTCCATCCCAATCCATTCCCAATCCATTCCAATCCCCTCCCAGTCCATCCCAGTGGTTCCCAGTGATTCCCAAACCCATCCCAGTTTATCCCAGTTCATCCCAGTACCATGTTGGAGATGCTGCGCGTGTTCTCGGGGTTGAGCATGACGATCTCGGTGGTCACGTGACCCTCCCAGTCCATTCCCAATCCATTCCTAGTCCATCCCAGTCCATCCCAGTGACTCCCAATCCACTCCAGTCCATCCGAATCCATTCCCAGTGGTTCCCAGTGACTCCCAATCCATTCCCAGTCCATTCCAGTCCATCCGAATCCATTCCAGTCCATCCGAATCCATTCCAGTTTGATCCCAACCCATTCCAGTCCATTCATATCCATTCCCAGTGGTTCCCAGTGACTCCCAATCCATTCCCAGTGGTTCCCAGTTTATCCCAGTCCATCCCAGTACCATGTTGGAGATGCTGCGCGTGTTCTCGGGGTTGAGCATGACGATCTCGGTGGTCACGTGACCCTCCCAGTCCATTCCCAATCCATTCCTAGTCCATCCCAGTCCATCCCAGTGACTCCCAATCCACTCCAAATCCATTCCAGTCCATTCCAATCCCTTCCAGTCCATTCCCAATCCATTCCCAATCCATTCCAAACCCATCCAAATTCATTCCCAGTGCATTCCAGTCCATCCGAATCCATTCCCAATCCATCCAAATCCACTCCAGTCCATCTGAATCCATTCCAGTTTGATCCCAATCCATTCCAGTTTGATGCAAATCCATTCCCAGTCCATTCCAATCCATTCCCAGTCCATCCCAGTTTATCTGAATCCATTCCCAATCCATCCAAATTCACTCCAGTCCATCCCAGTGGTTCCCAGTGATTCCCAAACCCATCCCAGTTTATCCCAGTCCATCCCAGTACCATGTTGGAGATGCTGCGCGCGTTCTCGGGGTTGAGCATGACGATCTCGGTGGCCACGTGACCCTCCCAGTCCACTCCCAATCCATTCCCAGTCCATCCCAGTCCATCCCAATGACTCCGAATCCACTCCAAATCCATTCCAAACCCATCCTAATCCATTCCCAATCCATCCAAATCCACTCCAGTCCATCCCAATCCATTCCCAGTCCATTCCAAACCCATCCCAATCTATTCCCAGTCCATTCCAGTTTGATCCAAATCCACTCCAGTCCATCCCAGTCCATCCCAGTCCATCCGAATCCATTCCCAGTCCATCCCAATCCATTCCAGTTTGATCCAAATCCATTCCCAGTCCATTCCACTCCGTTCCCAATCCATCCAAATCCACTCCAGTCCATCCCAATCCATTCCAGTGACTCCCAATCCATTCCCAGTCCACTCCAGTCCATCCGAATCAATTCCCAGTCCATCTGAATCCATTCCAGTCCATCCCAATCCATTCCAGTTTGATTCAAATCCATTCCCAGTCCATCCCAATCCATTCCCAGTGGTTCCCAGTGACTCCCAATCCATTCCCAGTCCATTCCAGTGACTCCCAATCCATTCCCAATCCATCCAAATCCACTCCAGTCTATCCCAATCCATTCCAGTTTGATCCCAGTCCATCCCAGTCCATTCCAATCCACTCCAGTCCATCCAAATCCACTCCAGTCCACCCCAATCCATTCCAATCCATTCCCAGTGGTTCCCAGTGACTCCCATTGACTCCGAATCCCATCCCAGTCCATCCCAGTCCATTCCAGTTTATCCCAATCCATTCCCAGTCCATCCCAATCCATTCCAGTTTGATCCAAATCCATTCCAATCCATCCCAGTGGTTCCCAGTGACTCCCAACCCATTCCAAATCCACTCCAGTCCATCCTAATCCATTCCAGTTTGATCCCAGTCCATTCCCAGTTTATCCCAGTTTATCCCTGTCCCTCCCAGTTTATCCCAGTCCATCCCAGTACCATGTTGGAGATGCTGTGCATGTTCTCGGGGTTGAGCATGACGATCTCGGTGGTCACGTGACCCTCCCAGTCCATTCCCAGTCCATTCCCAATCCACTCCAGTCCATCCCAATGACTCCCAATCCACTCCAAATCCATTCCAGTCCCTCCCAGTCCATTCCCAGTGGCTCCCAGTGACTCCCAATCCATTCCCAGTCCATCCCAGTCCATCTGAATCCATTCCCACTCCATCCAAATCCACTCCAGTCCATCCCAATCCATTCCAGTTTGATCCAAATCCATTCCAATCCATTCCCAGTGACTCCCAATCCACTCCAATCCATTCCCAGTCCCTCCCAGTCCATCCCAGTACCATGTTGGAGATGCTGCACATGTTCTCGGGGTTGAGCATGACGATCTCAGTGGTCACGTGACCCTCCCAGTCCATTCCCAGTCCATCCCAGTCCATCCCAGTTTATCCAAATCCACTCCAAACCCATCCTAATCCATTCCAATCCATTCCCAGTGGTTCCCAGTGACTCCCAATCCCATCCGAGTCCATCCCAGTGACTCCCAATCCATTCCCAATCCATTCCAGTCCACCCAAATCCACTCCAGTCCATCCGAATCCACTCCAGTTTGATCCAAATCCATTCCCAGTCCATCCAAATCCATTCCCAGTCCATTCCAGTCCATCTGAATCCATTCCCAATCCATTCCCAATCCATCCCAATCCCCTCTCAGTCCATCCCAGTGGTTCCCAGTGACTCCCAATCCATTCCCAGTCCATTCCAGTCCTTTCGAATCCATTCCCAATCCATCCAAATCCACTCCAGTCCATCTGAATCCATCCCAGTGACTCCCAAACCATTCCCAGTCCATCCCAGTCCATTCCCAGTTTATCCGAATCCATTCCAGTCTATCCGAATCCATTCCAGTTTGATCCCAATCCATTCCAGTCCATTCCCAGTCCATCCCAGTGGTTCCCAGTGACTCCCAATCCATTCCCAGTCCCTCCCAGTCCATCCCAGTACCATGTTGGAGATGCTGCGCGTGTTCTCGGGGTTGAGCATGATGATCTCGGTGGTCACGTGACCCTCCCAGTCCATTCCCAGTCCATTCCAGTT